CTGACGAACAGGACCAGAACACCAATCCAACATTCCCCCCTCAAAACTAACCATGTGAAACAAGTCAGTTTGGAAGGAGCATAAAGTTTCCCTCATTAAAACCTCTATATAGAAAACCCAATTGGGACAAACCTATATAGAGGAAAAAGAGTAGAAACTTCATACTCAGGAGGATAGTTGGATGGTAGCAATCCAAATAACTCCCAGCATACAACCCAGCACACAACCCAAATCGCCAACACTCCTGAAGCAAATCCAAAGAACTTCCAGCACATAACCCAGCAAGTACATAGCCAAAAGAACAAGAAAGGGTGGGACAAAACAGAGTCAGTCGTTTGAGTAGACTCCAAACCAGGTCACCAAACCTTCCTCAAGATAGTCACCTCTTCCCTGTAAAGAGAGAAGCTTGAGTCTTATATTTTTATCAACCATTTTAACCAAGCAGTCAATGTCTCTAGGCTTCTCATCATGTCTTCGTGCGTTCCTTTCCCACCAAATCAAATAGATTGTAGCTTGCAAAATGTATCTGAGGATGAAGGTCTTTATAGGGGTGATCCACGCCTTTGAAACAATGTTTATCAGCTCGTTCCATTGAGAAGTAAAGACATCTCCCATTAACCCCTCTGCAATCCTTTTCCAAACCATACCAGAAAATTTGCAATCGAAAAATAGGTGAGAGCAAGATTCCATGGCTTCATTACAGAGAACGCAGCTTGCATTGACAGAGCTGTTCCAATGCAGAATTCTGTCCAAGGTTTGAAGCCGTCCATTGATTGCAATCCACATAGTAAACGCATACTTAGGAGTAGATTGAGCAAACCAGACCCCCTTATGCCAGGTGCAGCTTAGTTTAACTTCTCTAATCTGATTCCAAGTTGTTCTAGTCGAAAAGTTTTCTCTATATCTTCCCTCTCCATGTTTCCAAAGAACAACATCATCATCATTCTCAACACGCAGATTACATATTTCCTCTTCAATTTGGTTTAGAATATCAACTCTATGGTTCCTTCTCCGTCTCATTCTCTTAACTTCAGCTATCGTATAATGTTCAGGGATACCCAAATCAATCGGGCCTCTCTCCCCAAGGAGATCTTTTAAGACACCAAACCTGGACCAGCCTTCATACCAAAAGGAAGTACTAACACCATTCCTTACATCCTTCTTAAGAAACTGCTTAGCAAGATCTCTGGATTTGAGAAGCTTCCTCCAACCCCAAGACCCACAACTAGTATTTTCCTTGATGGACCAGAAAGAACCTTTTCGAATCAGATAACACTTCACCCATCGAAACCCACAACGAATTCTCAGCCGTTAGCCTCCAAACAAGTTTCAAACTGTAAACTTTATTCAAATCTTTAAGAGACCTCAAGCCCAACCCACCTTCTTCTTTTGGGAAACAGATGTCTCGCCAACTTATTTTTGCTTTGTTCGCGTTAAGTTGAGGACCAGACCAGAGATAAGCAGAGCATAGCCTTTCAATCCCCTTCAAACAGCTGCTGGGAAGCTTGAAAGCGGCCATCCAAAAATTTGACAAACTCATGATGACTGATCTTATTAGTTGTAAGCGACCTGCGTGAGAGAGAAGTCTACCAGTCCAAAAACTCATTTTTTTCCTAACCTTCTCAACCAGAGGTAGATAGTCATTAACGGTCATGCGCCTTGTTAACAGCGGCAAACCCAGGTACCTAACAGGAAGAATACCAGTAGAGAAGGGGAAGGAAGTGAGAATATCACTACGGGTGCTATCACTAATACCAGCAGTGTATAAGGTTGATTTTTCCAAACTGATCTTTAGACCAGAGCAGCGATCAAATTCCTTTAGAACCATCAGAACCCCTTCCACTGATCTCTTAGTTCCATCCGTGAAGATCAACAAATCATCGGCAAAACAAAGATGAGATAGAAGGATATTCTTGCATCTAGGATGATAACCAATTTGCTTCCGTTCCACAGCTTTGTCAATCATTCCAGAGAGAACATTAATACAAATCACAAACAGATAAGGAGACAAAGCACACCCTTGTCTTAACCCTCTTTTACTCTGGAAAAAACCCGCAAGCTCACCGTTAACCTGAACCGAGAACGAAGCCGTACAAACACAAAGCTTTATCCAATGAATAAATGTATCCGGGACGTTCAGAGCATGAAGCGTGTTCAAAAGAAACGGCCAATGAACGGAATCAAAAGCTTTAGCTATATCTATCTTCATCGCACAACGAGGGGAGATATCATCTTTATGATAATCTTTAACTATCTCAGTAGCCAAAAGCAGGTTTTCCACCAGCAACCTATCCTTGACAAAAGCTGATTGATTGTAAGAGATACAATGGGGAAGAATACCTTTTAAACGGTTGGCAATGATTTTCGAGATGATCTTATAAAGAACATTACAACAGGAGATCGGTCTATAGTCCCTCATTTCCTGAGCTTTGTCTTTTTTCGGGATGAGAGCCAAAATAGTTGCATTAAGCCCCTTAGGCAGAAACCCCTTACTGAAGAAAGACTGAATCGCAATGACTAAATCTTTACCTATCACATTCCATGAAGATTTGAAGAACTCAGCAGTATAGCCATCTGGACCAGGAGACTTGTTACTAGGCATTTTAAACATAACATCTCTCACTTCCTCTTCTGATACAGTTTTTATAAGTCTTTCGCACTCATCATCAGTACATCTGTAGGAAACAAAATTCTGGATCTCCTCAACTGAATTAGTTGCAACATCCGCAGGCTCATAAGTAAGAAACTCAGTAAAATGTCTCACAGCCTCCTTCTTAATATCCTCTTGATTGGAGGCAGTGTTACCACCAGAACATCTTATCTCACGGATTGCATTTCTAGTTTCTCTTGTCTTCACAGCATGATGAAACGCCTTATTGTTCTTATCACCAACATGTAACCAATGCATCTTGGATCTTTGCCTCAAAACCTTTTCCTCAATTTCAGAAACTAATTGCCATCTAACAGCAGCATCATGCTCAGCTTTAACATTTTCAGGAGAAGGGAACCCTACTAGTCTCTCTTGCATTTCGCACAGATCACTGTAAGCCTCCTTCACTTTTTTCGAAAGATTTCCCAGCTTATTTCTACTGAGAGATCGAAGATGAGGCTTCAAACCTTTTAAGTACTTTGAGAATCTAAACAAAGCCGACGTAGACTGAAAGAGAGGTTGGGTATCTTTCCAGTAGTTTGCCACTAAATCCTTGAACTCAGCAGC